GCACTGGGCACCCCTATTCCCACAGTTGAGAAACCTGTGTGCCAGAGCGCAAGTCCAGTGGTCTGTCTAGGAAAACTTCCGTGGCCTCTTCAGGACTTTGGAACTTTTTGGCAACTACTGGATACCAAATTTAGAAATGGTATTTTTAAAAACTCCACACCCCGTTTGCCTCACAAAACGCTAGATTCTCTACTTTGCATTAGCTTTGGCCTCTAAGTTTCACATGCCAAGGCTTCTCCTGCTTACTCAGGTACCAGGAGGACCAATGAAGCCGGGTCGGCTGAACAAGCCAGGGCCAGGAACACAGCAGCGGCCTACCTGGCTTCTCCCGCGACCCGAACTTCACACTCGTCCTCCAGACCCGTTCCCGGGCCGGATCCTCAGACCTGTCCCCTAGGCTCGTTCCCGAGACCACGCGTCATCCCGGTCGCAGCCCACACCACATTCGGACGTAGGGAGGCGCGTCAGAGCCACCAGCGTCCGGCCTCGGGCAGGTGGGCAGGGCCGGCACGGTGACCCGGCCTCCACGGGTTCCCGGCGGCAAGTGCCGCCGGGCGGAGGGAGACCCCGGATCCCGCACTCACCGTCGGCTGCCGCGCGCCCGCGTGGACGTCTACATGCTGGGCCGAGCCAGCGGTCCCTGCTGCCCTACTGCTACCTGGCCCTCAGCGACCCAGCCGCCCGCCACCCCATGGCCGCTCAGTCCGGAGGCCGGCAGCACCGAGCAGCGCTGCGCCGCGGCTGGCAATGCGCAAGCGCAGGCCGCACGCATGCGTCGCAGAGCACGTGGCGAAGGCGCGCAGCCGCAGCCAGGCCGGCGGTCAAACCAGCTTGCTCTAGAGCCTTTTGTAGGCCGGGACTCGAGGCTGCGGGATGGGCGTGGCAGAGGGAGGGAGCCAGCCAAGAGGAAGTGTGCAGGGCAGAGAGGAGGGGCAAACGCAGAGCCGGGAAGGTCGGCGCCAAGGAGCCGAAGAAGGGAGTAGTGATTGGGCCGGGGACAAGGGGCCGGAAGCGACACAGCGCGGGGGCGGGGCTAAGCGGAGGGGCGGGGCCGCAGACAGGAAGCGGGGCTGGCAGGGGGCAGGGGAAGAGGGCGGAGCCAGGGGCTGGAAAGGGACCGAACTGAGACCGAGTAGGAGGGACGAAGCCCGAAGAGTGGACCGTCGCAAAGCGGAGAAGGCGGAGAAGGGGAGCCGGCGTGGAGAGAGCCGGAGCAAAAAGAAAAGAGGGAAGCGTAGCGGAGGCGGGAGGAGGGGCGGAAGGCTGTTTCAACCGCTGCATAGAAGAGCACCGTCACCTCCCTTCCCGCTTGTTCCTCCTCGCCTTGTGGTTTGATTTTTATCGCTGGCCTAGGTCTCGCCCTTCTTTTCGCAAGCGAGGTCTCCAGGACCTTGAGGGTCTACGCGGGCCAGCTTGGTGGGAACGTGGGCTTCGCGAGAGGTTCCTGCTGCACCGTTGTTTTTAATGACCTGGTAGCTGTCAGAAGAACTCAGGTGGCAGCTGTGCCTGGGGCATGCACTCACATGGGTCTCAGGCCCACCAGCAGTGGCCGACACCCTTTCGCAATTGGCAAAGCCTTTAGGATTTGGGACTGTGATCTTAACCCTGCCAGAAAAGAACCTGACATAATGGTTCACTACTTTATTCCCGGCACTCAGTGCCCTGGGTCTCTAGGAATTCAAGGCCAGCCAAGGGTACAGACCCTGCCTCAAAAACAAACAAACAAACAAGCAAATAAATTGAAAGGTGACTGTGTAAACAGTGCGCCCCACCCACAGCTTTAAGAGCAAGGAAGGAAGCAGAGCATGGTGGTGCATGTCTAATTCAAACGGATCGCTGTTAGTTCGAGGCCAGCCCGGTCTGCAAAGCCAGGGTCACACAGAGAAACCCGGTATGGAAAAGAGGGAGATACTGAATGGATGGATACCCAGTTCGTACATCAGGTCTTAGCTGTCCAGCCGTGTGGATAGGGTGTTTTGTGGTCTCCTGGCTCCCAACACTATGGTTTCCAGATGTTTACTCTATGCTGCATTTGGCAAGACTTGGCTCCCCTGGCATTGCCCTTCCTGTACAGCCCAATCTCCAGGTGCGCCCGCAGTCCCCATACCTGCTGCGGTCAGGATGTCCTCTGGTGGGCACTCCGGAGGCCTATGCCCTGTCCTTCCAAAAAGAACAGATTGGTGCACAGTGGGGACAGAACTGGGGGTAGGGAGGATGACAGGAATTTGAGGGGATTTCGTAAGTTTTGTAACTTCCTCATGGGTTTTTCTTCCCCCAGAGTAAACACCAGCCACACCCACAGGTTTCAATTGTGCTTTTGGGTGTTCATTGTATTATAATAATAATACTTGATTGGTATCTAGTGGTATGTGGTAGGCACGGGCCTACCACCGGCCAGGTAGGGAGACTTTAAGAGAGGCAGTAGTCATATCCTTCTGCAAAGGCACCCAGCCTACGGCCTGCAGTCTAAAGTCCCACAGCAAGCAGCCTGTGTACTCTTTTAAGTAGCAGGCGTCCTGTGCTGCTGGGGAAACCCTTTTTCTACAGTGGGGCTGAGGGCTGTGCAGGTGGCGTCCCCATTTGAGAGGAAGAAACAAAGCTGACACTGGGGGCCAGCTCTGAGCCCCACCAGACAGGACTCACGAAACAAGTGCTCTTTCCCACCACAGGGAATGACAGGGCCCAATGCCAGTAACCAGGCCCAGTGTTTTGTTTTTTAAGATTTATTTATCTTATGTATGAGTGAGTACCCTATCAGAAGGGGGCATCAGACCTCATTATAGAGGGTTGTGAGCCACCATGTGGCTGCTGGGATTTGAACTCAGGACCTCTGAAGAACACAGTGCTCTTAACCACTGAGCCATCTTTCCAGCCGCAACTCCCAGTGTTTAATTTCAAAGGTCACATAGGGTGAGGTACTGGGAAGAGATCAAGGCAATCGTACACATTTTTGCTTCAGGCCTCCAATACCTGGATTTCAAGGGCTAAATAAGGGAATGTTAGAATGGAAAGGGGCAGGATGGGCTTGTGCCCAGAGCCAGGTTGTCTAGGTAAGGCAAGTTCTCAGGCACACATATAAGGGGGAACTTGTACCTCTTTGGGTGCTGCTTTAACACATGAACTTTAACTTATGAGAAGTGGGTTTCATCTGACCAGGGTGGGACAAAGAGCTGAGCGAAGGCTGTTAAGTGACAGGTAGCCAGAAGAGTCTATCACGGAGGAGAGTTTACCACAGTTATCTTGTCCACCCTCCAACAGTGCACACTTGGCACAGGCAAAGGTCAATGCTGATGTCACCATCAGGGGCTAGTGTCCACAACAGCCCATCTGACAGTCTCCTTTCTGGGTTGAAGGTCAACACTATCCCTTCTTCATCCAGGTCAGTGAGTGAAAGAAAGGGACAGCTGCCAGGCACTCACTTCCTGGTGCAGCAGGCAGAGGGGCTGGGTAGAATAGGACCCAGCCTTGCGTAGGGTACTTAGAACAGATGTCTCAGGCTAAGTGAATAGTGGGTTTGGGAGTCTGGGCTACAGAGTCACTGACTGTAATCAAACACCATGAACTTTGTTCTCATAGAATCCCTTCCAAGATAAGCCTGTGAGAAGAGGCAAAGGTGACTGGCTGCTGGCTACTCTGGGATCTTAAGGGAAAGGGAGTAGGCTACAGAGCACTGGTGGGGAAAGGCTGTATTAGAGTGAAGGGGCAGTGACAGCAGTGGGAGTGCAGCCTGGACCCAGGCAAGCTCAGCCACCTTCTGATCTTAACTAGGCTCCCAGACCACGAGAGGCACTTAATGGCAGATGCTACATGTGCATGGCTGAAAATGTCTGGCCTGAAAAGGCCTGTGGCTTTGGCTTTTCTTTGTATGCTCTTTGGTTCATTCTGCTGCCCACATGTTCAAAGTGGGCATGTTTTCAATGACTGCTTGCTAAACAAGTGGGAAGGGGACATGACGGCTCAGAAACAATCAACTTCCAGCTCTTCTGAGGCAGAGACAGACCTGCCCTGGCTACATTCAGCCTGCTGATGATTGGGGCAGAAACATGTAAAGACATAGATTCCCAAAGAGAGAAGGTAGAGTTGGGGATATGGTTAACCTCACACTACCCTCTAGTTCAAAAAGAACCTCTGTATTCTCAGTAGGGGTCGGATAGGTAAAGGCTGGCAAGTTTTTGTGAAGGACGTTATTTACGGGAGACTGGGGGAAGATTAAACTGGCTAGGCAAACTCCTCTGTTCCGCCTGACAATCACCACAGCATGCACATCGGGGGAATGATGACTCACTTCTGAAGAGGGCACCACTGACCCTGTGTGGATTAGTCTGCTCTCCAACCCCCAGCAAAGGTGGCTTGGCCCAGCCAATTCCATCTGGGCATCTGAGCGAGTCAATCTTAAAACTTATTTAAGAGTAAAACTTGTATTCAGCTTAGAACTAGGCACTTCAGTGGAGTGAATGACAATGGCTAGAATGGCAGCCGAACAACTCTGGGGTTGATGTTCATTCCTTAAGATGCAGTAACCTTTATTGACTGAGAAGGAAATGCTCACTCAGTGTCTTTAAATGGGCAGGTCCTCAGATATTTTAGTGGGGAAACAGGAAGAGGAAACCAAAGCAGCTGGCTGGTAGAGGCCAAAGGAGAAAATGGCAGACAGTGCCCAGATGCTGAGGGGGAAAAGCCACTTATCCTAGAAAATAGGCCTGAGATGGATAGCATATCAGAACCTTCTAGGAACTGAGTGCCCCCCCCCCATCACTTTTTGAGTCAGGGTTTGGCTGTCCTGAAACTTGGTAAGTAGATCAGGCTTGTCCTAACCTCAGAGATCAGCCGGCCTTTGTCCCCCCAGTGGTGTGGCTAAAGGTCTATGCTCCTGCACTAGCCTGGGCTGACACTTCTATAAGGGTCTCTCGTGATGTTATGTGACTGTCCGGTCAGCAGTTGGGGCATGTAACTTTCACACACTGAAGCTGACTCTCAAAAATAACCATCACACCAGAGTCCCTCATGTCAAACTGCTTTATTACATCTTAAATAACAGTACAGTTTAATATAGTATCTATCTTGCATCCAGCCTCCTTGCAGTACACTGACTTTAAAATTAAATACAAAAGGTGAAAAGGGTACAGGGTGCAGAGAGCTCTACAGAGTCGTTGGGTAGGAAGAGAAGGGGCTTCGCTGTATTCTTTGCCAGGTCCAGGCCTACCGCACAGTCACAGCACAGTTTTGTACAGGACGCTGCAGAAAACAGAACGGCGAAGCCACTACTGCTATGAGGGGTGCAGGATACAGGGAGAGGGAAGGGCCCACAGAACACTGCTGTCCAAACGCTGCTGCTGAGCATGGCTTGAGATGGTAGCCACGAAGATCCGCATGGAGTAAAAATGGTTGCCTCGGATGCAAAAGGCTGTTCCATGGAGGCAGGCTTCCAGGAAGTGGCAAAGAGGCAGCAGAGCGGCTTTCCCCTCCCCTCCTGAATCCAACAGCAATCATTCCCAACAGGACTGTTTGTTCTGTTTTTTTAAAGAAAGAAAACAGTGACTTATCCCACTACTCAAGTGTGTCAAGCGCTCGCTGCTTCCGATATGTGTGCAGAGCAGCAACAGTAATGGACAAAGCCGCCACGGTTACAACTTGAAGAGGTTATTTCTTAAAAGAAAAGGAACATCTAAGGACTGAGTCCTATATGCACTTTAGAGCATTTCTACAGCATGCGATTCTAAGAGTAAACCCACCCAATATGGCAAACAATCAAATTGTTTAAAATTTAACTTAGAAAGTCTGAGATCATTATTTTCAAAACATTGATTTGTACATTGTTTCATACACAAATAACCAACTGACTATCCAAGCACAGGACAGGCACCTCTCTGGAGAACAAATCTCTTGACAGCAGGGGTAGGACAGCTAGTGTCACATGACTACAAACTTCCCTCCAACTTCACAGAAAACCCAAGGTAAGAGCAGAAACTAGACAGTGAGGAGGACAAGTCAGGAGGGAAGGGTGCTGGGAATAAGTTCACTGCTGAGCAAAGAGGAAGGGTTCGGACCAAGCATTTGTGGCCATTGTAACATGTGCTTGGCTACTTTGCTTCTGATTTATTTTTTTTCTTCCACTATGCTGTGTTTGTGCGAAACAGTCATCTGTGACATGAGACTTAAAAAAAAAAAAAAAAAAAAAAAAGGCAAGCCCCCCCCCAGCCCCCCAAACCAAATGAAAAACAACAAAAAACCCCAAGCAAGCCAGGGATAAAAATGCATCATTGATAAGTCAGAGACTATCATAGGCTCTGGTTCCCTTAATTATTGAACATAAAGGAATATATTTAAGAAAGAAATCTGAATGCTTCCAAAGTCCTGCTACAAATGACTTATATTTAGAAACAATTGCAGAGAAGCAAAGTCTTTCATGAATGCCACAGAGCAGGGTCACTGATCTAAGATCCAAATGAACTGGTAAAGAGGCGTGTCTGTCTCACAATCATACTCAGGGTTACCTTCTGGGTAACATTTTTATTGTAGTATTCCTTTAAAATTCACCCAAAACAAACAAACAAACAACAAAAACAAAATAACCCCCCAACAACAACAAAGAAACAGACACCGGCCCCGGAAGGAATGCACACTTTGTTTACAGCACAGAGATCCTTCTCTTAATGGGAGTTGTGCTCTTGGTTTCAGCAGTAAGTGAAGGAAAAAGATCTTGCCCTTTTGAAGTTCTGAGGGGAGGTGTGGGTGTCCATGTTAGTATGGTTGGACAGGATATGCTATCGCTGTAACGCTTCAAGGTTGGAATGGTCTTCCAGTCACCGTGGCATCCATCCACCTGCTGCTGTGAACAGAGCTTGGGGTCAGTGCATAAGAAAAGAATGTGAGCTCTTCCCCTGCCCTCTCTGGATCACAGCTAGGTATGCACGATACCAGGTCAACAATACAGCTTTGATACTCTACGGCCTATGCAGGAAAACTTCATGTCCTGAGAAGTGTGTCCGACTCCACTAACGGGGTGCTCCATTACCTCCTGGCCTTAGTTCCAGATCTTGAGGAAGCTGTCCCAGGACCCCGTCGCCACAGCCATGCCGTCATCAGTCACCCCCAAGCAGCTGACTCGGTTGTCATGTCCAGCCAAGACACCTGGGAACAGAACCATCACAATCACCAACACACATGGCTTGACAGCACCTGGAAAAGCAAGGCAAGGGCACTAGGAAGACAGAAGGTTTTTGTCCCAAGTGGAAACTACCCTGAGGCCTATGGCCAATTCTGTACTGAGAGTGACAAGGCCTTTTCTAACAAGAACATGGACACGAGCTCAAGAGGACAACAGGTGATGCGCAGAATGCAGAGGCAGAGATCCAGATCAGCTCTTGTACACGTACAAAGAGGCAGGCAGTGGTTGAAAACCAGCACTTGGAAGGAGGGGGCAGCTGGATCTGTGTGAGTTCCAGGCCAGCCTTCTCTATAAAACAAGTTCCAGGACAGCCAAGGCTACAGAGAAACCCTGTCTAGAAAAAAAGACAAAAAAATAATGTCAGCCCCTCCTCCCTCTGGTTTTTCAAAAGAGGGTTTCTCTGTGTAGCCCTGGTTGGCCTGGAACTCACTCTGTTGACCAGGCTGGCCTCTAGTTCAGAGACCCACCTGCCTCTGCTTCCCAAATGCTAAGTAAAGGCATGCAAACCCACTGCCCAGGTAAATAAATCTTAACAAAACCAAAACAAAACAAAACTGAACACCTATTCTCAGAGAAATTGACCACATGGACATACAAAGTCTAGAGCTGAGATCATGGAGCTGCCACATCAGCTACCACTTGCCAAGACACTGTTCTCAAACAGAAACAACTTCCGGCTCCTGTAGCTATGATACACCAACTAAGCACAGGGCTGGAGGGCTCTCTGTACTCAGGGTCGACTTCCCTGGCCTGCAATGCCAAAGGTCAGAAACGGTTTCTTATTTATTTCTGAGACAGGATCTATGTAGCCCTGGCTGTCCTGCCTCTGCCGCTGAGTGCTGGGGTTACAGGCATGCAGCATAAAAAATGTCTTCAATTCAGCAGACTGAAAGGGTATATGAAGGCACAATGGGGACCACAAGGCTTAAGGTCACAATCCCCTCTTTCACCTTCCATCACACAGATTTTAAATATATTAAAAAAATAAAAATAAAATTATATATATATATATATATGAAAAATTTTAAATATATTAACATTTTTCAACTTGGAAGTTTAAGGCTAGCATGAGCTCAAAGGGAGACTCTTGAAAGAAGAATGTTCTCATCTTTTGTCCAGCTTGTATTTAACCGACTTGATTCTGATTTATAAAATTCAGGCTCTAAATTGAATGATCACCAGCACACTGTTCAACAACCTCGTAGAGAGGAAGAGGCTTGGCACCATATCAGAGGTCAAAGATGCACAGGCCCAGAAAGCTGCAGGTGGAGCTGGTCATGGTGGCATATGCCAGGAGGCAAATGACTGAAGAGAATGGATGATCAGAAAGATGGAAAACTGAGAGTACTCACCAGTAATTCAAGCATTTGGAAGGCTGAACCAGAGACTTTTAAATTCAAGAGCACCCTGATGTATTAGAGAGTGCCAGGCTAACATGGCTACTCAGTAAGACCCTGTCTTGAAACAGCCAAGCAGGAAGAAGGGAAACATGGACACTGTCAGCACTGTCGGGCATACTGTGACCTCATGCATGCCTCTCAGAAGAGCTTTCAGCTTTTCACACTCCCTTGTGAGGCACAGCTCACACTATGTGGCTTTTAGCTGTCCCTATGCTGAGTTATGCTACAACACAAACCTAAAGTTTTAGCTCATCCAAGTCTCATTTCGTAGCCAAGAACCAACTTAATGTCCAGGAACACAGAAAGTCCATGTGGCCACTGACCTGCTCTGTCAGCTTTGAGGGCGTCCCAGACATTACAGTTGAAGTCGTCGTACCCAGCAAGGAGGAGGCGGCCACTCTTGGAAAAGGAAACAGATGTGATACCACAGATAATGTTGTCATGGGAGTAGGTCATGAGCTCCTGGTCTGCACGAAGGTCAAACAGCCTGCACGTAGCATCGTCTGAGCCAGTGGCAAAGGCATTGCCATTGGGAAAAAACTACAAAGAGAGTGCAAATCAAGACATATGTAAGCATTAAGGCCTGGGACACAGGTCAGCTGACAGAACACTTGCCAAGCATAGGTAAGGCCCAGGGTTCAGCTCCAAGCACTGGAGGAGGTAAAAACGTGCAGCATGGAATGGGATGCGCAGTCATCAGGGCATCAGGAACACCAGTGAATTCAAGGTCAACCTAAAGTACATATCAAGTTCTAGGCCATATACTGACCAAAAAAAAAAAAAAAAATTCAGTAAGAAATGATATTAGCTAGGCATGAATGCAGGCAGTTCAAGGCCAACTAGGTCTACAGAGTGAGTTCAAAACAAAACAAAACAACAAAACAAACAGAAATGATGTTACTGCAACTAATGGCGTGGCTGCTGTGGAAAGGGAAACAGGTTGAGGTTCCAGCAAGAACAAAGGTTGCCAACATGGAGTGAATGGGGAAGGTAAAGGTACTGTGTGAGTACTGACGTACTGCTCATGGACTGTCACCACGGTAGACCTCAGTACAGAAAAGCAAAGGGGCCCTCCTAAAGAGCTTCTATTCTCTGGTTAAGAGCTGTCAGAAGAGACTTATGGAGGAAGGAGCAACTTCCTGCTCCAGTCGACCAGACTCATCCCTTCAGGAGGTGCCACCAAGAAAGCAAGCTCTGAATTTGCCACCCCTTGGCTGGCAGGATAAACTGCTTTACACTCTAAAGCAGTTCAAGCTCTAAACTGGTCACTCTAGGGATAGGAACAGAGTTGAGCCAGCACAACATCGGAAACAAATACACAGCACAGAGTTCTCAGCTGACCTCTAAAGGAAAGGACAGAACTTGGAGTCAGTGAAAAAGGACACACCAGGCGGGAGAGCAAAGGCCTGCAATGTCAGTACTGAGGACTTTTGAGTTTGAGGTCAGGCTGGCCTACAATGCTAGACCTTGTCTCAAAACAAACACAAACAAAAAAGAACAAAATTTAAAAAACTTAAAACTGTTTATTTAAAGAAGGAAGACACTGGAGAGATAGCTCAGCTGTTAAGAGCACTTACTACTCTTGCAGAAGACCAAAGTTTGGTTCCCACTGCCTGAATCAGTTGGCTCTTAACAGATTAAACCAGCTCCAGGGCATCCAACACCCTCATCTGGACTCTGAGCACCTGCCCTCACGCCCACATACAGACACAGACACACAAACATTTGTTTACTGTTAAATTATGTATTTCATTTACTTTATATGTATGGGTAAGTTCTGCCTGTATCACATGTGTGCGAAGCCCTTGAGACTGGAGTTATAGATAGCTGTGAGCCACCGTGTGGGTGCCGGGAATCAAACCCAGATTCTCTGGAATGGTAGCCATCGCTCTCAATTGCTGACATACCTGTGGCGGTCTGAATGTGAATGGTCCCCAATCGGTGGGACTGTTGGGAGGTATTAGAAGGTAAGGCCTTGTCGGAAGTGCAGTTTCAGAAGCCCATGCCACTCATGGCTAGCTCTCTCTATGCCTTGTGACTGTATCTCAGGATGTAAGCTCCCAGCTACTTCTCTAGCAGCATGCTTGCCTGCTTGCTGCCATGCTCCTCATAACTGATGGTCATGCGCTCACCCTCTGAAACTGTATGTGGTCATTAAATGCTTTTCTCTGTAAGTTGCCTTGATCATGGTATATTGCCAAGACAACTGAAGAATAACTAATATGTTATCTAATCTCTCCAGTCCCTAAAAAAATAAATTTATAATAACAACCTACCACAACAGTAATAATAAAGCTAAGATCTCATGAGACACAATTAAACTCACACATATGGCATTGATGTCAGACTCGTGTCCTGTAAAGGTCTGCCGGCACATCCCTTCTCGGACATCCCAGAGCTTGGCTGAAGCGTCACAAGCACCAGAGACAAACAGTCTGGTGTCAGGAGCAAGGGACAGGCTCATGACATCTCCAGTGTGTCCAGTAAACGTGGTTGTCTGCTGGCCGGTCTCGATGTCCCACAGAGCACTGAAGCAGGAGTAAATGACAAGTAAGATCAGCCACACAAATGGGCCCACCAGCTACCTAAAGCATTCTTTTTTTTTAAGACAGGTTTCTTTGTGTAGCCCTGGCTATTCTGGAACTCAGACTAGGCTGGCCTTGAACTCATAGACATCCACCTGCCTCTGCCTCCTGAGTGCTAGGATTAACGGTGTGTACCACCACCAGCCCAGCCAAAACAACATTTTTCATACTACCCAGGATCACAGATGGTCAGTGTGCCACTGTGAAGACACATTTACCTCTATAATGACATTTTTGTTTAGGAAAATCAAATGGAGGAAATAAACAAATACATGGATGAGTGTATGGGGGAGGCCTCACAACTGCTGTTCCCAGGTCACATGACATGAGCAGAAGGGGTCAAGCAGAGCTATGAGGTTCTACCACACAAACATATTCCTGGGCAGTTTGTGGGACAGCAGAAAGTGCTAGCCTGAAAGAAAGGAACTTGTGTAACCTGTGTTATTCCCTCTGTCGCTCCAATTTCCCACCTTCCTAGACACCAGGGAGGGAATGTTGAGTAAGTAAATGGTTCAGAGCAACTCTGGCCCAGCTCCTTTTCCATGGGGACCACAATCCAAAGATCGTCTTCATGGATAGACATGGTGCTTCAAAGGCCTCTGTTTGACAGTGCTAAAAGATTAGACACCAACAGCACTGCACGAAGCAGCAGCTCCACAAGCAACAGCCCCAGGCGGCTGCCTCCGACTGTAACCTGCATGTTCCCTACTGCCCGTTCTTGTCAACCTCACCAGAAAAGCTGGCTCAGCCCAGCAATGCAAATCCCATCAGCCAGTTTCAGCATAGGCATGAGGGACACAGGAAGGAAGAAGCCTGGAGCACAGAAGTGTCATACACTTCATCACAAATAATCAAACTTGAAATCTGTGATGACTCATCTTCGTTGTCAACTGACTACATTTGGAATCAACTAAGGCCCAAGCAGCTCGGCACATTTCTTGATGGGATCATGTGAAGTGGGAAGACCCACCCTAAATCCGGGCCACACCTCTGGTGGCAACTCACATGGGGAAAGGACACTTTTCTTTGTGCCCACCTGCCTTCACTGTCAGTGGCAAGCTCATCTAGCTTACTGTTGAGACATTCTTTATGGGCATTAAAACCTACTCCAGGTTTAAGTGTAGACCAGAGACCAGCTGAGATATTTAGCTTCACCGACTTAACAACCACTAGCATCTTTACCATTTTTATCAGAAGTCCACTGCTGGCCTTGCAGGCCTGTAAGTCATGTTAATAAATCCCTCTTTAAAATACTGCTACTGACCACCCAGGCATGACCCCTCAGTGACCAGAAAAACCCACAAGGGCAGCTTAAGTCTAAAATTAATATCTTAAGATAACTACCTGGTTGTTTCATTACTGAAGAAAGGGGGAAAATGACTTGAACATGTTTCCATCTACTAGTGAACAAACATAAAGAAATCTGATAGAACTGCTGTCTAAAAGCTGTACTCATGCTCACAATATACCCACAGGGCTAAAATAAACAACAAAAGAAAAACCATCACATACACAAGAAAAAAAAAAAATGGAGAAAAGTAAAGAAAAACGGGTACTTGATATACAATTATAGTCTAAATATCTAAATATTTTTGTTCTCTGTTCATAACTAAATTTTGCATATTTATAGACAGTGCAATGAATTACTCTTTGCTACTTTGTGTTTTTTTTAGTTACCAGGCCATGATCATATTTAAGCAGTCTTAACTAACTGACAAGAACCATTTATCTCACAATTCTTATCCTACTAGTGTGAACTAGACCAGTGGATCTCAGGCCTCATTCTCTGCCTTGTCAGGTACTCACCAGGTGGTGTCTCCAGAGCTGGTAACTATCTGATTGTCATCCAGGAACCGGCAACAGGACAGATAACCTGGAAAAGAACATACCCAAATGAAAACCCAAGTCTAGCAATTCCCAATCCTATGATCTTCTCAATGTAAAAACTATGGTATTGAAAATACCCAGAACTTGTGTTTTGTTGGGAGCACTGACTATCATAGTGTGGGTGAAAGTATAGCTAGGCAGAATCAAGGACAACACAATACTTCAGACAGACCCACACCCTGCACAGCACACAATAGCAAGCCTTGCCTATGGAACGCCTGAATCTTGGATCTGCCTTTCTATCTTAAGGCAGGGATTTTCTTTCCTTTTATCTTCATGTGCTTGCTCAACATTCTTCTTCCCCTCTCTCTCTTTTTTCTTTTCTGAGACAGGGTTTCTCTATGTAGTCTTGGCTGTCCTGGACTCACTTTGTATACCAGGCTGGCCTATAATCCCAAGTGCTGGGATTACCAGGCCTGGCTGCTCATTTACTTATTGAAAAAGAACTGTTTCAGAGGATGGTGGGAAAGGAAGGAGCTCAGAACCTCCTTGTTCTGAGTAATGGAATCAAGGTAGAAAGGGCTTACAGGCCAACCAAAAGGACAGGAAAAGATGATGGAACAGCCAGACCCATGGTAAGAACAGTGGAAACGTACAGTGGGAAGACTCCAAAAACACAGGTTGAGTGGGGCTTGTTTTCTTAAGAGCTGTGAGAGGGAGTATGCATGAAAAAGCTATGTTCCTGCTGACACTCACTGGAAGGTGTAGACAGAGACAATGAAAGCCTGTCTCAAAATATAACAAAAATTTTGAGGGAGAAGAATAAAATAAATCATTGAAAAATGAAGTGGGCTGGTATCTTAAAGTCATTTAGTTTCTCTAGAGAGGAGTAATAAAATCTGCCAGGTAAAGGAACAAATCACAAATGGTTACATAAAATTACACAAGAGGAGCCAGGGATCAGATGCTATAATTATAGACATCTTACAGGTAGTTCTTACAATTATTCAAAAACATGAGAAGTAAACTTGTTATAAATAAAAGGACAGAAAACCTCAGTGTGTGTGCACACACGGTGTGTGTGTAGAGGGATCTTTTAAAATAAAAACATATAAGAATTCTCAAGTTGAAAAGACCATTTGACACAAAAGCTTCTCTGACATAAAAGCCACCCTTCCATGGCTCAGCAGCCCGGTTTGCATTCTTGCATCTATTCTTAGTTAGGTTCGCTCAAATGCTGGCCATTACTAGGCTGATGTGAAGGAAAGGTGTTGTCTACTTTGATGGCAAACTGAAGAAATTAGCCTCCAAGCCATAGAAGCCATCTTACCAACTTGACAAAGATATAATTTATGGGTTCCACAATGACTAGAAAGTCAAACATCTTGTCACATCACAATCAAACTGCTTAAAATCAAAGACACACCTTTAATGTGTTTTGTTGTTTGTTTTCTTTTTAAAATTTGAAGACTGAAAAGATGGCTCAGTGATTAGGAATACTGGCTACTTTTCTAGAGGACTCACCAACCCAACATTCCTATCTTAACTGCAGTTCCAGGAGAGACCGACACCTTCTCTCTGGCTTTGCATCAACATTCATGCAGGGAAAAGACCCTTACACAACAAGATGACAGTCAACCCAACATTCTGTATGTCCAGCAAAAATATCTTTCAGAAATAAAAGTCAAGGGCATCGAGGGCAAGCAAGACGAATCAGTGAGCACAAGTGCTTATTGCTAAACGTGACTATCTGATTTTGATTTGCAGGATCGATTTATTTATTTATGTACTTATCTATTTATTATGTATACAGTGTTCTGCCTCATTATAGATGGGTGTAAGCCACCATGTGGTTGCTGGGAATTGAACTCAGGGCCTCTGGAAAAGCAGACAGTGCTCTTAACCTCTGAGCCATCCCTCCAGCTCACAAGTTATCCTTTTAACTACCCGTGCACACACAGAGGTCAAGAGCTGGCAAGATGGATCAGTGGGTAAAGGGAACTTGCTCCCTCACCAAAGTTTGATCTTCAGAACCCATGCAGAGATGGCAGGAGAGAACCAACTCCATAGAATTATCCTTGATCTCCACATGCATGACAGCCCCACCATGCAAATAAACACAATAAAAATAATTTAGCCCAGAGGTGGTGGTGCATGTCTTTAACCTCAGCTCCTGGGAGGTGGAGACAGGCGGATCTCTGAGTTTGAAGCCAGTTTGGTCTACAGAGCCAGTTCTAGGACAGCCAGGGGTACAAACATAAACCCAAACCAAACAACCAAACAACAACAAACAAACAAAAATAAAAACAAAACAAAGGCCAAACAGACCTTTTCTAAAAATTAAGGTTTCTCAGCAGCAGCCTACCCTAACCACTGTGAGCTCATCTGGGCTTCAGTTAACCCATGTGAAACCTAGAAAATTCCTGAACCAAACAAACAATCGCACTGCCATGAGTTTAAAAAAAAAAAAAAAAAAAAAAATTAGTTCTCAAATAGCATTCATTACAGTGTATTGCTATAATAGTGCTATCTTACTAGCTGTTGTGTTAATCTCTTCTTATATAGGGACTGGCATCACCCACACTTTAAGCACTAAGAGGCAGCCTGCAGCATTTGTCCAAGGGCAGGAGTATACTCTTAAGGCAGAACCCAGACGTCCAGAGGAGGGAATGCACGACATGAGAAATCATGACTGTGGTAAGTGTATGTGAGACTATGCGACTCTTTTAAACAGAACACTGTCCCCAGGCATGGTGGTGGAAGGCAGAAAAAAGGGAAAAGAACAAAAACAGATAAGAGTACCAGCCTTATATCAGAACCCACTCCAACAGAGCAACACTTGGGATTGTTCTGTTGAATATCAATAAAAAGCAGCATTTAGGGGAAATGAATTTCAAATTTTCTTTCTTTTTTTACTTCAAATTTTCAATGTGATTCTTTCTGACTTATCAATAAGTAATATGATCTTCCCAAGATGCTGGCTAGCAGCAATGAACTGAAGCTCTCAATCATGATGTGAGAATGTTAAACAGGCATGTAAAGTGTCCTAGGCTACAATGATGTATCGGGCCATCATAGCACCTAGGAGACAGAAGCGGGCAAACTTCTCTGAGTTCCAGGCCAGCCTGATCTACATAAGATAAGAAAGAGAATGTACGGCAGGCTAGACAAAGTCAACATAGTTCAATGGCTGGTATTCTAAAAGCTCAAGGGGTGTTGTCAGTACACACTAAGGGACACAAATTTTGAGGACAGCCATTGAGAGAAAATACTATGATGGGACCTTCTTCTTTGGAAATGTAGTATGTTCTAAATGCAAAGTGAATTTCTGGCAATACAATATGCACCCAACATTTTCATGCTGGCCACATTCAAAAGACCTGAACAGACCATAGACTCTCTTCTATGGGCTATGCACATGAACACAAGCTTAGCTTAGGAGACTTCCTATGTTAAAGGGATGGAAGGCAGTTTAAAGCAGGACTGAAATAACAATCTTTTGAAAAATGGAAGCTACTAACTGTGTAAAGAGAACAAAAGAGCTAGCTGAAGAAACCAATTTACAGGTAAAGGCATATTGGGCCTGGCTTGGTTTCACTTTCAGAAAGTTTCTGGCTATTACCATAACTTTACTTGAACTAATGATCAACAAGTCAAAGAAACAGTATGTACCCAGTAAGCAGCTCACAGTATTGAAAGGTTAAGATGAGATGTGTACCTGTATGTCCTGCCAGCTCGCGACTCACGCGCACATTCCCTTCACGAGTTTTCAGATTGTAAATGGAGCAGATATTATCCAGGCCACCACAGGCCACGTAATTCCCGGAAGGAGCATATGCACAGGTCATGACCCAAGAGGAACGCAGAGGGATGGCATGAACCTAGATGATAACACACACAGGCATTATGTTCAGGAAAATGTAACTACAGTTGGGTGTGTGGCACATGCCTTTAATCCCAGCATTCAGGAGGCACAGGTAGGTGGATCTTTGAGTTTGAGGCCAGCCTGGTTTACATACTGTTCTAAGACGGTCAGGGCTGCATAGTAGGACTGTCCCAAAAAATAAATTAGCTAGTAGATGGGTGTGATGGCACATACCAGTGGCTTCGCACTTGGAAGGCTAAAAGAGAGAGCACAAGAGTTCCTGTTCTGCTTTTCTCTTTTGGTCCTGAGAATTAACTGAGCCTTGTCTACTAGGCAGGGCTTCACCACCAAGCTGTGTATCACTAGCCCTAATGACTCATCTGAGGACACCTTGGGCTACACATTGTGAGACACCATTTAAAAAAAAAAACATTTGTATTTTTAACAATTTAAGTAGGAATGTTAATGATTTTTAGGATTTACTTACTTCTCCCTTTAATTCTATCAAAATGGCCATGGGGGTGGGAAAGAGAGAGAGAGAAAGAGAAAGCCAGGCATGGTGATTCATACTAATCCTAGGAGACAGTAACCAGTTCATATTCTCTCTCTCTCTCTCTCTCTCTCACACACACACACACACATACACACACACACACACACACTCCCTGAACTAACCTAACTGTACATTGGTAACATAATTTTGTTTAGATAAAGCTTGAGGACTCCTTGTCTCTGTCTTCTAAATGCCAAACACTGGCCACCACACTCAGAATTTAAGTGGTTCTCTCTTTTTTTACTGATACTATATTCTGAAGCAAAATCTCATGTAGTTCAGGATGATTTCAACTTTGCTATGTGAGTAACGATAATCTTGACTGCTTGGTCCTGCTGTTTCCATTTCTCAAATGCTTGACTATGAGCATGTACCATCACACCCAGCACAATTTATTTCAAAATAAGAAAAGTGAATTTAATCCAGAGATTTGTACCTATCAGCCAGACATTCTACCCAGTATGTGTGGGTCTTTTTCTTCCCTCCTTTGGTGACATCTTGTATGCTAAGTTTGGTCTTCTGGGCTTACTGGTTCCTCTTACCTTAGATTCTACCACTGTGCTGGGTTACACTGTGTTTATTTTTGTGGTTCTGGGAATTAAACCCAGGGAATTAGGCCTGGTAAGCAAGTATTCTACCACTGATCTACATTCCCAACCCTCAACTAAATCTTAAAGTATACTGTATTTTAGATCTTCTCTCTCTTCTCTTCTCTCCCATTGCCCCCAAAAAGGGTTTCTCCGTGTCGCCTGTGTATTCTGGACTCACTCTGTACAGCAGGCTGGCCTCAAACTCACAGCGACCCACCTGCCTCTGCCTCCCTGAGTGCTGAGATAGGAGCTTGTTCTGATCACTCCAAGCATGGACCTGGTATTTCCAGGAATGGTGCACCCTCTTGGGGGAATAAAGTAGTTTAAAAATAAGAACTTGTGGGTTGGAGAGATGGCTTGGCAGTTAAGAGCACTTGGCTGCTCTTCCAGAGGTCCTGAAGAGTTCAATTCCCAGCAACCACATGGTGGCTCACAACCATGAGACCTGATGCCCTCTTCTGGCGTATAGGTGTGCATGCAGGTAGAGCATTCATATACATAAATTAAAATTAAAATTAAAAAATGCAAAGTGTGTGCCAGCATGCCAGGCTTAGATTATCTCTTACCAAAACAAAACAAACTACTAACACAAATGGAATTTTCACTTCCGTATTCTTAGAAGTAAGTTAGGAGAGTTCCCAGTGTGAACTAGGACTGGAAGGTAGTTCTTCTACAAAGACACGGAGGCACTCAGCTCCTATCTACATGGTGAGACAGGACCCACAGCACAACTGTGTGCTAAACTCAAGGGGCCAGCAACATGAGCTTGTCCTTTGTCCTCACAAAAACTTGTGAGTTGTCATGAACAGACTGTTAGTGTTCCAGGGAGACTCTCATCACCCACCTTGTTTGTGGTGTAGCTGTCCCAGATGATGAGTTTTCCATCCTGAGAGGCACTGACAAGGAGCCTGCAGAAAAGAGAAAAGAAAAGAACAAACATACATATAAATCCTGGTGATGTCCAACTAGAGCTTTAAAACTACATTTGCTTAGGATTAAATACACTTAATCATAGGAAAAAGAGGATCTAAATGCTGGATCAATATGAGACCATGATTGGTGTCAGATAACCGCAGTTCGACCCTGGGGACACCTGGGTAATCAGACTACCAACTCTTTATCACCTGAGGCTGGTACTGACTTGTTTCTGCAAGGTTTTATTTGTTTGTCTTTTGAGACAGAGCTTCTCTGTATAGCCTTCTCTGTCCTTATGGAGATCTACCTGCCTCTGCCTCCTGAGTGCTAGGATTAAAGGCATGAACCACTATGTTTGTCGAAAGGTTTCTTTTTTCACTCCAAATTAAATTAGATACACAGATCGGTCCAGAGTCTTAAGTAGTATCAAATATTTAGAATACAGTTTTGTTCGGACACAAAGAAAGCTTGAATATTATGAGAAAAGCTTTGAAACACTCCCCACTCAGGAACCACTTTAATCCATTCTCAATATCCTGTCCTGCCTGACTAGTTTTTTGTTGTCGTCGATACAAGCTAGTCAGTCATTGAAGGAAGAAGGGCCCTCAACTGAGAAAATACCTTCGTCCTATTGGCTTAAAGGTAATTTTCTTGATTAAAACCTGGTGTAAGAGGGGCCAGCTTACTGTGGGGGCAGTACCATCCTTTGACAAATGGTCCAGGAAGGCATAAGAAAGCAGGCTAAGTACTCCCTAAAGAAAAGCTAGTGAACAGTATTCCTTTGTGGTCTTTGCTGATCTCCTTTGACAATGGATACAGCTGAAAGCTGAAATAAACTCAGGTGGCTCTTGCTTGTGGTACTTCATTACACCAATAGAAATCAAACTGGAACATCCCCTGAGCTGGAATGGTAGTATAACATTGTAATCCATGAATGTGGGAAGTGGAGACAACATGACTGAGAGCGTTCAAGACCAGACTTGACTGTAAAACGACTCTGGGGCCCAGACTTATGCCTTAAAACCAAGGGAAAACAAACAAATACCAACAAACTTCCCAGGCTGAGACGATATTAGAACACCTCTATAAAACTAATTAGTCTCTACCTGTGTGTTAGTAATATGACAAATGACAGCAGAGTTGCACACGGTCAGGCAAAAGAGACCACCCACTCTAGCAAATTATGAACTGCTCATGACTCCGTCCTGGTTCAGGGCAGCTGTGCTAAGTTTGGAATCTGCTGTTCTCTCTATTTTATCTGGAAAGCAATCTGAGTGAGAGTAATTCTGAGAACCATAGCTACTCAGACATAAGGTTTATATAAAAATTCCTATAGAATGTGTTGTTTTGTTTCAAGGAAAAATGAGAGGTTCCTACGGGTCCACAAAGAGCTATTTTTTTCAAAGAAATAGAGACATAGATTTTAATTTCAAATTTTAAATCAAAACATAAACATTTTAGACATTTCATTTATAAGTATATTAGGGCATATTTGGATTTTTGAAGCTGAATAAAGAAAGACTGAGGTAAAACTCAACCATGTCATTCTGAGCCCTTTGACACTTAATAAAACCATGCTTTTTTTGTTTGATTTGCCCTTTTAAGACAGGCTCTCTCTCTGGTAACTCTGACTCTCCTGGAACTTACTATGTACAGCAGGCTGACCTCAAACTTATAGAAGTTTATTATCTCTGCCTCAGAAGAGCTTGCACTAAAGCGGTGCATCATCACACCCTGTCAAGCCATGCTTTGAGATATAAATTTCCTTTATAAAAAAACAGCATGTATGTGACAAGAAATAAAATCCCTTTCAATCCTTTGTCACAAAATTTATCACAGAACTGGGCAGGTACCAAGACTGTTGCTTTTCAGCTACTTTTCCCCCTCCCCCCTTTTCAATTGTTTAGACTGAATTCAGGGTCTCCTGTACAAGTAAATTGTACTTTACAAATGAGTTGCACCTCAGCTCTCTGGAGCCTTGGGAATACAAGGCAAACTCAAGCCAGACCTCTGCCTCCTCAAATGATTCTTTTACTTTTTCTGGAGACAGGGTGCTGTGCAGCTAAGGCAGAAATTGTACCCCTTCCATGGTGCTCAAAGCCCACTTTTGTACACTCGCCCAGTCATCAAAACTAAGGTGCTTTCCACCACCTCCACACAACAGGATAAGGCCCCTTTGCTGCTCTGCTTCTGCCTGGCCTTTTTGAGCCGCTAGGCAAGGGAATTAAGAGACATCTATAGCAGCTCATCCTCTGACGTAAAAAGTCACCTTCAGAGAGCTCAGTAATTGCTAACTCAGTAAAGAATTAAGACAATGCTAAGCTGTGAGCTGATCCTCCAGAAGGTGAAAGAAGACACGCCTTCTAATCTCAGGTCACATAACTTGGAGGAACCAACATTGTGTTGTCTGAAGTCTTTTCCTTTCTGTCCTCCAACAGCGATAACTAAAAACTAGCCACCACACAGCCCAAACCTCACACACTCTTCATTTTTCTAGGAGGAGGATCCAGCCAAAGAAACCTCACCAGGCTCTTGAATGGAGAATGGGGAATAAAAGAAGTCACAGAACTGGAAATCTTGACTATTATTACAAACTAAATTTTAGTGCTGGAGAGATGGCTCATGCACACCTTTAATCACAGTACTCAGGAGGCAGAGGCAGGAGGATCTCTGAGTTTGAGGCCACCCTCATCTATGGTTTCAGGACAGCCAGGGCTACACAGAGAAACCCTGTCGTAAAAAACAAAACAACCCCGCAAACATACCCACACAGCAAAATAACTGATGAACAGGAACCCACACAGTGGTAGAGTAAGAGAACTGATACACGGTGTGTATGTGTCCCTTACTCAGAAGCCAAAAGAAGACTAGTTGCCCTGCTCTATCACTCTGCCTTACTCCTCTGCAGCGGAGCCTCTCGCGGAACCTGGACCTCACCATTTCCAGCTACAGCACGTGATCTCAAGCACTCTTCTGTCTCTACCTTACTGCAGCACCAGGGTTAAGCATTTGGCCATGATCAGGTTTACACGTGTGCTGGGATCTAAACTCAGGTCCTCAAGCTTGGAGTGCAAGCGCTCTTACCCACTAAGATCTTCCCAGTCCACCCGTGTATAAAGCCAGACAAATTACCAACTGGCACAGTGAACTGTAGCCCTGAGTCATAGGAAAGATTCTTGTCAGTAACTTTTTTCTTTTTCTTTCCTTTTGGATAGTCTCAATATGCAAGCCTGGCTGGTCTAAAACTCACTATATAGACCAGGCTGCCCTTGAACTTACCAAGATCTACTTGCCTCTGCCTCCCAAGTACGGGGATTAAAGACTTTTGCCATGGCACCAAACTCAATAACCTTTCATTAAGAAGGCAAAAAAATATGAAAATGATGTAAGAGGTGGGGGTTATACATATCCAGAACACCTCCCTAAATAGCTACTTTGGATTTTAAGATCCAACCACCGACTAGGCAGAAAGTATGCTCATCTAAAACAATCCCAAAATATTGTTTTGGAAGGTTTTATTTGCTTTTTAAAATAGGGTTTGGTTTTATGTAGCTCAAGCTGCCCGAGAGCCTGCTCTACAGCTGAGACTGACCCTGTGCATCTTGGATCCTCCCGCCTGGTGTTCTGGGATGACAGGCATGCACCCTCTCAACCCTTTAGTTTACACTTTACCAGCAATAGCCCTGGGTGTAGAGCATGCTGAGCAACTCTGTTAACTTAACAGCTCCAATATATTGATTGAGGGATCTTTTCAGGGTCTCAGGGTTATGTTGTCTAGTTCAAAAAATAATAGCAAAACAAATCTCATGCTCCCTGAGTACCACGCAAGAAAAAGAACAGACTAAAAGTCACTCGCAAACCTCCCCCGGGTCTCTTGCTCACAAGAACATCACGATTCTGAACCTGGTGTCCTGCTGACACACGCACTTTCCTTCTGACCCGTAGTTTCTGTCTTAAGCAAACTCATGCTTAAGACTAAATGGACCGTAAGGCTTCCTACCTCATGCTAACTGACCTTAACTGCACAGGCCAAATACCTGTCCTTAGATCTTTGAATACGCCTGCCTGCAGCACACACCTACCTTCCAAGACACCCCATCCAAAGCCTGACTGCTGAAAGATGACACAATTTCAAGACCAGACTCCCAGTCCAGGGCTATTGAATAATGCACAGCTATTGTTATATTCTCACACATGGAAGAAAAGATGCAGAGGTCACAACCTACCAGTTGCCACTTACCTTTGAGAAAGCATTCTCTGATGAATTGATTAGTAAGACTATTACCCTTCTTCTTCATACTTAATTTTATACATCTTTAAAGGGGTAACTTTGAATTTCACCATTTTCTTTCTTTTTTATTAAAGACCTATTTATCTATTTTATGGATGAGTGCTGTAGAAGAGGGAATCAGATTCCATTACAGACGGTTGTGAGCCACCATGTGGTTGGTGGAAATTGAACTCAGGACCTCTGGAAGAGCAGCCAGTGCTCTTAAGCACTGAGCCACCACTCCAGCCCCAAATTTCACCACTTTCTAACTTTTTTCCCCATTTGGTTTTCTCAAGGCAGGGTTTCTCTGTAGCCCTGGTTATTGGAACTCACTCTGTAGGCCAGGCTAGCCTTTAACTCAGCAATCCACCTGACTCTGCTCCCCAAGTGCCTGATCCATAACTGTACTCACTTATTTTGAATGATCTTCATTTTTAACTGACAGTTAACTGTGGACTATATAGACTGCTTATGTTTACATTAGAGAAAGATCAAACTACAGGAATTAATAGTCATTACCTCACATGTTCAGCGTCCTTCTGTGGTGGAAACATGTGAGATCTATTCTGGGATGGAGGTGTGCCTCAATGGTACATCAACAGCCTAGCAGGCATGATACCCCAAGTTCAATGCCCAGCACTGAAAAAGCAATCCATCAGCAACAGCACAGCACACTCATGTTCTCTGAGACATGCTCCTGTTTAGCTAAAGCTTCACCTTTCAACAACAATACAATATCCCGCCCTTTTCTTTTCTGATGGGACTGTTTCCATCATTAAACAGACACAAAAAGTGCTCATTGGCACAAGCAATTGTATGGGGCCCTGTAGAAAACTAAAGATAGAATCTTTTGTTCTCCAGCTATCTACATCCTACAGCAGATAATTTCAAAAAGAAAGCCAAGTACAAATTCCACTCTGACAAATGAAAAAAAATGACTCAAAAGAAAGGGATGTTAAAACTGTTGGGTCTGATGGGGCATGCTTTAGTCACACAAAGAATATATCGCTTTGTTTTGTTTCATTATGAGTGGAAAACTCTAAAGAGAAACTCAGAAGTCCAATAAAGGGTAGTTTGATCAAAGTATAAAAGACAGGAGCCCAAAGTGGTAGTATCCCTTTAAATGATGAGTAAGCAGGGTAGGCCATGTGGAAGGACAAGAATAGCCATCAATTAATACTCCACAAAGCTTCCCAGTGAGGATAAAAAGACCACTGAAACCCACATTTAGTTTTCGGGACCACAGTCTGCTGTTGTAAACTGAGTACTTTCACCCTCCATTAACCAACTCTTACATTACAAGGTAGCCAGAGAGCAGCTGAGAAAGCAAAGATCCAGAGCTTTAAGGCAAAGGGTGGCATGAAAGCAACAGTGGAGCAGCCAGCTTACCGGGGACAGGGATGAAAGCTGTGCGCCTGTGAACATTACCCTTGGCTGCCAGGAGACTGCTGCAATAAACCTTCATCCAACCCTCTCCACCTGGTTCTGAGGTGGGGTCTCACTATGTCACCTTGGCTAGCCTTGAACTCAGGTGTAGATCAGGCTGGCCTTTAAACTCCAAAAGATCTGTCTCTGCTTTTGGCTTTTAAGGGCTGGGATTACATGTGTGTGCCACCACACCCACACCAACTCACCTTTCTAACCATTATCTCTTAGAAACCCTAGCAGTCAGCCAATATTTCAAGTACTGCTTTGGAAGGGCTCATACATACCTTGAGTCTGTGCCCCAGTGCATGGCATAAATCTTGGCCAGATGCCCCCTCAGGGTTCTCCTGGTCCGCATTTGAATTCTTCCCACTGGATCAATGTTGTTCGTGATCTTAAAAATAAAATAAAATCAGTGCAGATTAACTTCAGCCAATAGACTCTCCACGTGCATTCTATGGCTTGTTGTATGATGTCAACTGAGAACCCAAAAGAAGTTAAATGAAAAACCCTGTATCTACTGTAAAATATTTCTGTGTGGTGTACCTGAGTGTATGTGTGCAGCAAGAATGTGTGTGCAGAAGTCCTGGGAGGTCAGAAGAGGCCCTGCACCTGGTTCAGGGAGAGCGCTGAGCCACCACAGAGGTGCTGGAGACAGAATCCAGGTCCTTCAGAAGAGCACCAAGTTCTCTAAACTGCGAAGTCACCTCTCCAGCAGCCAATTGATAAAACTTTAAATTGTGTACATTTTAATTTAATTTAAGCAGCATGATCAAATTATCCATCCTGTAGTGCCTGAGGTGTGAATCCCTTTTGCCCAGGGAATCCATGCTATAAACACACAGCATGTCTATACGGGCACTGTATCATCCCACACCATCCCAGTACAAGCAGTAGGACACTTTCAGAACATGAGCTTATATGCCCATGTAACTACTACAGAATAGCTACAATTTTATTATTGGTTTATTAAATTATGGGTTACCTCCACCTTTACCTAACACACAAAATCACACTTTACCACACGGATACACAGGGGGGGATATCTGTCTATCTATAGAGGTGTGAGGACCAGGCCATCGATTCCTCAAGGAGAAGGGGTGTGTGGGTGTGTGTGTGTGTGTGTGTGTGTGTGTGTATGTACAGGTTTCTGTTGTGCTAGTCAGTTTTTATTGTCAACTTGAGACACAGAGTCACAAGAGAAGAGGAAATCTCAATTAAAGAACTCTCTAGATCAGATTCCTCTGTGGGCCTATCTGTGGGATATTGCCTAGACTGCTAGTTTGATACAGGCGGGTCTAGAACATTGTGAGCTAAGCAAATGACTGGGCTGTTTGAGAAAGCAAGCCAGCAAACAATACTCCGCCATGGTTTCTGCCCTGCCGTCCCTCAACGATGGATGATTACATAAACCTTTTCTTCCCCAAAGGATTTAGACAACGTGTTATATTACAGCACTGATTACATGGCAACAGGAGTTGATGAACATACATGTATTTTAAGTGCTTTTTATTTATTTAGGTAGGAGGGTGGCCCCCGTGTGCAGAGGTCTGAGAACAATTTGTCCAAGATTGGTGACAGGCACCTTCACCTGCTGAGTCATTTCATTAGCCCTGTACATATTTTAAAACCAGTTTGATTCTTCTGGAAACAAGTCTGGCAGTAAAATTGTTGGGTCATATGGCAGAGATCTTAATTTCACTTAGAGCTCATTCACTGGTCCTCATAGCCCATCATCAGAACAACCTCTGAATGAAGAGCCTTGGCAGTGTAAAACAGGACAGGACAGGGCAGAAGTCCCACATGAAGATAAAAGCCCACAGCAGACTGCATTATGGACGACTGATGGCTGGCACCGTTTCTTACCTGAGAAAGAGTCGCATCTGCACATGCTTTACGGGCATCCTATGAAACAACAGATGGGAATTAGTAGACTTCATACTTCCAACCTCAGTCCCCACCACAGCTTCAGAAAGCCTCCACTAACTGTTGGAAGCAAAGCAAAGTGTGTATGATGGGGCACTCTTCTTACCTCCTCTCTCGTATTCCTAACTCTTCTCTAATACTCCCAAGTCCATGGCCACTTTTGAGTTGTTCAGGCCAAAACAGACACAATTCACAATCCCTAAACCTAACTAACACATGCAGACAGGCCCAAGTGAAACCATGCTGGAAGCTGGTCCGGCAGTGAGCAGCCTGGGAGCCAAACCAACATACACCTGCTCTGTCTTTCCGACAGTTTACATGAAAGCACAAGTGTTGCAAAGAAAACAACAACAACAACAACAAGCTGAAAACTAGCTAGCTTTTCAGGACAAAAAAACTTCCCTTTGAGAATGCACTGTCCAAGAACTTTATTTTTAAGCTAAACAATGATTAAATCTAAGTTTTATGAAAAAGCAAGGGATCTACAATTGTTTATAAATTTCCAACGCGACTGGCAACAAAAGAGCAGCAGGCGATCTTTTCTATCTATAAAACCTACCAATGTAGCTAACACCTACCAAAAAATACTATGGCAATTTTTTTCTTTAATATTTACCATATTAAGTATTTCACTAATAAGTGAAATAAGCTGTGAAATCTCAAAATAACACATACTTGTAAATACAAAGATATCTATTATGAAGGAAAATGAAGCAACTCTTGTTGTGGATATAAAGGTGTTTTTGTTTTAATCCCAGGTGTGGGATGTGGGGCTGATTCAGATGGTCCACAGCAGCAGACTCTTTGCCTCATGTGGGCTCTAGGGGAGCTCTTTGCCAGCTGCAGATAGTCTCAATCTTAGGACTCTGGAGAAAGAATAAATGTGAGCGCCCAGAGAGTGTGGAGGAGCTCCAAGAAAGAACAAGGCTGCTGCTTCCCCCCTTTGGCTCCTGGTTGCTGCAGTGAGACAAGAATTAGGAGATCTCCTGAAACAAGGACTAGACTGGCTCCAAGGAACCCGACGACCTTACCAAGCAGGAAGCAGGTAAGAGAACTGGGCCCACCTCCCACTAACCCTTTTTCTCTCCTACCTGGTGTTGGACTGTTGCAAGGGATTGGGATGGAGTAGAAAGATATAAAAAAATGTAAATAAAAGAGTTAAAAAAAAAAAAAAGTACACCAACGAACTCTTAAAAGCTCAAAATTTCAGTAGAGGCATAATTCAAAGGAACTCCTGACAAATCTTGACTAAGACACTGACCGCAAAGTATTACCTCAAAGTGGCAGCTGCCAACAGGCCAGATTCTTAAATGAGGTAGAGCAGATCTGTGTCCAAGGATTTTACTTTATGAAGCAGGATTTTACTTTATGAAGTCTGCGGGACTTTTACAAACTGGTGACAATGGTAAACATACAGAGATGACTATTACTGTATGACCAAATTCTAGGTCCCAATTTCAGCCTTTAATGATTCTGCTTGTAATCTAAACAAGAAATTATATAACCAATTATTTCTACATAAAAATTTCTGGAGTAAAGTACACAACAAGGATTTTTAATAGTAAGTCATTGTCAAGGCCTTCTGTCATGCCAATTAGTAAGTCTAATACTTTCAAACACCATGACTGTTGATACAATCTATAGCTTTAGGTTTGAAAGACTGGTAAGAATTTAAAAAAAAAAAAAAAAAAGGTATTTAAGCAGCTTCACCTTGGTTGGAACCCAAAGACCAAAAAGGCTAAATATCTCTGACACTGCAACTGGTCCTAACAGATGAAAAATGAAGCGGCCATATTCCAGCCACCTTTGTTTTGGTGAGCAAGGGTTTGACTTGCTTAACATAGAATCATGACCATATTTCAATTTACAAGTGTAATTTACAGGACAACTTCTGGCAGCTAATCCTCTCCTACAGGTGGGTCTTAGGGCTGGAACTCAAGCCACCCTGCTGGCCTGAAACTGCCTGATTTAGAATTGGGAGAGTGCCTTGGTCCTGACTGGCCTAGAATTCACTGTGTAAACTAGGCTGGCCTCAAACTTCACCTTCCTCTGCTGGGATTAAAGGTGTGTGGCCACTACCTCCTGGCTTCACAATAATTTCTTAACAACTCATGAAGACGAATCCATTCAATCCCTCAATTTTTTGTTCTGTTTGGGTGTAAGTACAAAGCACTACCACAGAAAGGGCTCCGCCCACCTCACACAGGCATTGCCACCTCAAACTACAACTGAAGAGTCTGGGCCGAGGTCAGCTCAGTCCTGGGTCACTCCATTTTGGAACATGTGTACAGTTGGTCTATCACAGTTGGTTCCTCTGTGTTTAAGATGTGTGTTTTAATTTTGGCAGGTTTTGTTGTTTCTGGTTTGTTTTTTGTTTTGTTACTTTTTCAGGGGGCAGTGCTTCATATGAAAAACAAATCAAAGAACACACAATACTTAGAATTATCTGTCATTTCTTTGTGGTTCACCACATTTTTTTAAGGTTTGGTTTTTTTTTTTTTTCTTTTTGAGAGAGCCTAATGTAGCCAAGTTGGTCTTAAACTCTATGTAGCTAAGAATGACCCTGAATACTGATCCTCCTGCTTTCACTTTTCAAGTTCAAGAACTATAATACATATATGAGCACATCTAGCTGGAAACTGTTTGTTAATTTTTTAAAAAAGATTTATTTATTATTTATATTGTATTTTGCCTGCCTGTGTGCATGCATGCCAGAAGAGGGCACAAAATCTCATAGATGGTTGTGAGCCACCATGTGTTTGCTGGGAATTGAACTCAGGACCTTTGGAAGAACAGCCAGTGCTCTTAATTTCTGAGCTGTCTCTCCAGCCCCCCTTTTGTTGATTCTTAATAATTTAAAAAAGTATTATTAAGAATGTATACGCAGGCTGGAGAAATGGCTCAGTGGTTAAGAGCACCTTCTGCTCTTTCAAAGGACCTGGGTTCAATTCCCAGCACCCACATGACAGCTCACAACTGTCTGTAACGATAGTTCCAATGGATGTGACACCTTCACACTAATGCACATAAAATAAAAATTTAAAAAAAAAAAAAAGTGTATAGGCACACTCCTTTTATTCCAGCACTGGGGAGGCAGAAGGTTTAAAGCCAGAGATATGAGTTTGAAGCCTGTCTGGTCTATGGAGCAAGTTCCAGGAGAGTCAGGGCTACACAGAGAAACCCTGCCTGCAAAACAAACAAACAAAACTGTGACTGATATATGTGTCCATGTGCGTGTTACCGAGTATGGAGATCATGGAACACTCTGTAGAGTCAGTTCTCTCCGTCCACCTTGACATGGACTCCAGGGACAGAAGGCAGGTTTACAGGCTTACACGTTGGGTAGCAAGAACCTTTACTTGATGAACTACCTTATCTGCTCTGCTTCTGATTTTTTTAATATAATTTTTTATTTATTACAATTTACTTACTTTGTATCCCCATTTGTTTCTGCTTTTTGTGCGCTTGTTTTGAGAAAGAGTCTCTATATAACCCGGGCTGTCCTAGAACTTGTTATGTAGACAAGGCTTGCCTAGAACTCAAGAGATAGCCACCTCACTCTGCCTCTTCAACGCTAAGACTGACAGTGTGTGCTGCCACACCCAACCTCCTGATTTTGATTTTAAGACAGGGCTGGCTTGGAACTCACGAGGCAACCCAGGCTGGCCCTCACACTAAAGGCAGCCCTCCCATTTTCCTAGTGACGCAGATCACTAGGAAATGCCAAGCCCACTCCTCCAGTACTCTGGGCAAGCACTAGACTACTGAGTTAAGAGACACTTCCAGCCCTTGCACTAAATTCTTCAAGAAGCACGAATTCAGTAGGCAATCGGTAGAGAACATTTTACTTTTTTCTTCCTTTCTATCATACCCTTTTAAAAAGTGGCTTTTGTTTTCTTTTACTTTATGTTTATGCAGGTACCCATGGAAACCAGAAGAGTTCTGGATCCTGTGGAGCTAAAGTTATAGGTGGTGCTGGGATTAAACTTAACCACTAAATTTTACTTTTTAAAGAGTATTCTTGGCCACGTAACCTAGCACACAGCCTTACTCTCAGAACTTGGAACAGAGGCAGGGTGCTCTCTGTGAGTTTGAGGCCAGCGGTCTACGTATCCAGGACAGTCGAGGCTTCCTAGTGAGACCTTGTCTCAAAAGCAAACTAATAAAAGTCTCCATTCCCATTTAGAGACTCCACGGCATTAAATCCACTGTAAAAGTAGTGCAGGATTGAGAGGCAAGGCCCAAATCCAATGCAGTCATTTGTGAACCGTCCCACCAAAAATCCTAACCCTAAAAAAATTTTAGGTTTATATCAGGGTTAGAGATGTACTTCAGTACTATACTTGCAAATTACCAAGATATCTTCTGGCATTACTTAAATTTGTTTTTCAGGAAATAACTTTATAGCACACCAAATATTTAAGAATGTGTTTTATTAACTCTAGTAGAGCAGACACGTTGAAAAGCACTGACCAGCAATCTATATTAAGATATTTTCTGTTTTATCTGTGGCTCTAAAATAAATCTTAGGTAATTCTGGTATGTTTTCTTAACTTCAAGAAAAAGTTGGCTAAAATCATGCTGGAGATTTTCCCATGTAGTCCCACTGGCAGCGTGAACACAACTGATGAGTTAAAGGGAGCATGAACTACTATTTCCGCAAAGACCGATCACTGTCAGTGACTTCACTGAGACTCTGAAGGATAGCTAGATCCTTACAGATGAGAACATGAAAGCCAGAAGGCTAGTTCAAATACACAAAACTGTAAACAATCTGGAAACTGGGATTTCCTGGTAACCATAATGTCTTTTTTTTAATGTTCTTTAGATCAAGTTTAGGGGAAAGGGGGTAGACAAACCACATACTTGAATTAACTGTCTCTGTATAATGTTGCATTTAAGGCCAGCTTTGTCTACATTGTGAGTTCCAGGAGAGTCAGAGTTTCAGAATGAAACCCTGTCTCAAGTAACAAAAATACAAATTCCAAAACCAAAATATCCACATTTGCCTGGCATGTGTGAGGGCTCTCACTTCCATGTCTAGCACTACTCCAAAGCTACTCCTCACCCCAAAAGAAAGGAATCAGAGTACAATGAAATTAGCTGGGCAGAGTGGCCCACGCCTGTAATTCCAGCACTGTGGGGGTCAGCCAAGTCCACAAAGTAAGTCCAGGACAGCCAAGGTGAGACAGAGAAATCCTGTCTCAGAAAAAAAAAGTGAAATTTGTCTTTCATTAGTTTTGTACTCTGGTAGACACAGCTGTTCCCTGGTGGCCCAAGAGCTGTATGTACATTCCAAGAGTCATTCTGGAGCACAAACCATTTCAAAATTAAGAAAAGACAGACAGACACACCTAAAATGCCACTTTACTGGTCCTTTCATTTTCAATCTCTTTTCTGTCCTCAAACTTAGTAGCCTTGCTCTTCAGAGCTGATGCCACCTTCTGACATAGTGGACTCCAGTACAGTAGCCACAAAGGAGGGACAAAACCTAGTTCCCCAGGGAAAGTTCAAAGGCTTTGATAAACTTTACAGGAACACGCCAGGTACATACAAGCAACAAGTTACAGTAAGTGAAACAACGTAATAGAGCAGACATCTCGATGTGTGACCTGCATGGAGAGACCACTCTCCTCTCACTCTTGTTACCCATACAACAGCAGGTAACCTCTGACCTGAAACAAACACACATGGCTACGTACTCTGATTTGGTTCTTCAGTTGCTCGGCCTCCTGCCGCAGCTGGTCAAGTTCACTCATCTTCAGGACTCAGTGCTTTCCACACTTCAGAATTCAAGCTCTGCAAAATAAAGATGGCATGAAATGGATAACTGAAAACTTCAGAGCTATGGCCTCATAAAGCGGTGAACTTTCCTGCGGCACTTACCAGACTTTTAAAACCCTCTCTAGAACCGAATTAAAAACATAACCATCATTTTTAATATACTGCTAACAGATTGCTGAAAACATGGTAGACTGAAAAAGAAAACCATCAGCGCCAACAGTGCTGGCACAGTCCACTATTTAGGCAGCTGAAGAAGGAAGATCTTAAGTTCAATGCCACCTGTACCAGAGACCCAGTCTCTAAAAACAAAAATAAATAAATAAATAAATAAATAAATAAATATCACTTAAAAGAGCACAGGCCTTTCTTTTGTGAAAAGATTTTGAGTCTCTCCAAAATAAGAAACAAACAAACAAAGCTGGACAACCAGAATAGCTACTACCTGGAGAAATCAGGAGTATTTTCTTCAGGAAGCAGGACTGAGAAAACTAGTACTGGAAAACTAGTACTTTGAAGCTCTGGGAGTATTCATGAGCCTTGAAGGACATAGGGGTATCCAAAAGTCCTCTATTTCCCCCAAACGCAAGGCTGAAGGGTCCCAGGCAGCTCTGAAATACCTTGACCCTTCTAGGTATGGACTGACTAAGGCTGCTCAAAGTGCTGTGTGGCAATACCCAGTCATGTAAGACAACATCCCCACAGTCAGAGACAAGTGAAACCATCCTGTTATGACTGTTCCACCTGAGCATACAGAAGCTCCCTTGCCAGAACGTGGGCCTTGCATGCGCAAAGCTCTAGATCTGAGCCCAGCCCCAGGACAAATGGGTGTGGTGCCGTTTACCCTAATCCCAGCACTTGGGAGAAAGCAGCAGGACCAGCCACCCTTTAAGGTCACCGCTCGCTATATAGTTTGAGGCCACCCAGGGATGTATGACTTCAAAAATAGTTCAACAAACCTGACTCCCTGGGTTGGGGATAAAGTTCAGTTCGTAGACTGCTGGCCTACAGTGTATGAAGTCCCATGCGTGATGGTGCTCACCTGCACAGAGACCCTGTCTCTAAGAACTAAACCAAATAAAATAAAACAAAGGAGGCGTCTTCCCCAGTGGAAATTATACATAGAAATGCCTGTGTGCCTGTCTGGAACTTATTTCTGTAGCCTATGCTGGCCTTGAACTGATAAGCAAATCTCCTGTCTCAGAATCTCAAGTACTAGAACAGCAGGCCTCATATACTACTATACCTGGTATACAGGATACACTCCAACAAAGATGTTATTAAATCAATCATAACTGTGATCAAAAGCACCATAAAACTGAAGATGTAATTACTTAACCCCATGTGATTTGCTCTCCATGCAAATTACAGAGTATGAGTGTTCTGATGGCATGGTTTATGTGCGCCACATGAATGCTCGGTGCCCCCAGGTCACAAGAAGGCATTGGAGTCCCTGGAACCTGACTCAGATGGTTGTAAGCTGCGAAGTAGGGATTGGGAATCAAACTAGGGTCCTCTGGAAGAGCAGCAAATGCTTTAACCACCCCTCCCCTAAGTCACCTCTCCGGCCCTTTCCCCCACAGTCAACAAAATTTTTGCATAAAAATTAAATAAAGAAGTGCTAGGAGGTGGGAAGTAGGGCACTGGGTTCAATGGTCAATTAATCTAGCTGGAATGGAAACCTCTAGGTCAGTGGTTCTCAACTTTCCTAATGCTGCAACCCTTTAATACAGTTTCTCATATTGTGGTGACTCTTAACTAAAACTATTTTGTTGTTGCTACTTAACTGTAACTTTGCTATTGTTACGAATAATACAAGTATCTGTGTTTTCCAATGATTTTAGGTGAGCCCTGTGAAAGGCTCATTTGACCCCCAAAGGAGGTTTGCCACCCAGAGGTTGAGAACTGCTGCTCTAAGTTCAGTGAGAGAGTTAGAGAACTGGTAAAACACCAGGGCTGGCCTCCATATGCACACAGATGAGTGTGCATGCATAAACACATACACACATTCTGCATGCCCAGAATCTCAGAACTTGGAAGATGCATAGGCAGAAAGACCGCTTTTGAGTCTAAGGCCTCTCTGGTAATACAGTGGGCTCCAGGCTTCCTAGGACTGTGCATCAAGATCCTGTCTCAATTCTTTCTCAAAAGTTAAAGTTAATAATATCAAGTGCTGTGGGCTGGAGAGATGGCTCAGCAGTTAAGAACATGGGCTGCTCTTCCTAAGGACCCAAGTTTAATTCCTAGCACCCATATGGCAGCTCACAACTGTCTGTAACTTCAGTTCCAGAGGATCTGACACTGTCACATACACATACAAGCAGGCAGACCACCAACGTACACAATAATAATAAATCATTAAAAAATATTAAATGCTTAACTAACCGTTGTCCTCTTCTTTGTCCCCTCCCGACCAAGACAGGGTTTTTCTATGTAGCCCTGGCTCTCCCGGAACTCGCTCTGTACACCAAGCTGGCGTCTAACTGAGATCCATCTGCTTCTGCCTCCCCAGTGCTGGGATCACTGTTATTTTCATTAAGAGTAAAACACACCTAGGACAAATCATCTAGATAACCCCCAAATTGTTAAAGTCCTTATACCTTCCTATTTTGCACACCCACACTATAAAATCCCTTCCACTTCAGTGCCTTTGTTGCTAGGCAGGACAAAAAGAAGGGTGAATTCACTAAGTGCTGAGAAAAGTGAGTTTGAGAGTAATCACCAGCATGGTCTACCAAGAGAAAACCACAAGGTGCCGCTCACTGTGCCTCCACAGTCCTAGACCACCGCCTGTCGCAGCTCCCTAGGGTACGCAGCACCACAGCTTGCGAAAGATTTCTGATTACAGTGGTATTCTCATTTTCTGTTGGTGCTCCTCACCCTGCTCCTGCCTTTCCCTTTTTTTTTTTTTTTTTTTTTTGGTTTATTTTTTTCGAGACAGGGTCTCTGTGTGTAGCCCTAGCTGTCCTGGAATCACACTGTAGACTACTGCCCCAGTGCTAGTATTAGAGGCACGTGCCACATGTCTAGCTGCAGTAGTTGTTTTCAAATGTGTTTCTTGAGTGGATTCTTGACTTATTAGCAAAGCTTCACTAAGGGAGAATACCTCAGGCCTCACTGGGTATCTCTGGCACTAGAGAACATTATTTACTTTTGCAGGAAAAGACTGGGCCATTCTGTCTTTAGCACACAAAACCTAAGGACCAAAGCTTAGGAATATTCCTGTATGACAGAACAAAATCCCAAGTGAATAAAAATACAGATGGAAATATGTACTGTCATGTTTGTTCTGTTCATGTTTTACCTTACACAGGATCAAAGCGCAGATCCTCTTGATGGTTTTACAGAGTCAGGATCACTATCCTCCAGGACTCCCTAGTCTATTAAAAGTCACTCAGGCTATAAAGACCTTCTACTCAATCCAGCATTAATCTAAGAAGAAATAGCAGCCAAAGTCATAAGGTGCCCTGAATTAGTCGAACCAGACATAAGCACTAAAGCGTTTACATCTTGAGACTGAAAACAACACACTTACCAGAGTTTTGTAAACAGAGGATCTTTCTGAGCTGCCTAAAAAGCTCCTCAGGCTTGGCAGCCAGCAGCTTTACTCAAAGTCACCTGGATAGCCCATTAGCTTTATAAAGATTCCTCACTGGGTTTCTGATAAATCCATTTTTCTAGTTTTAAGCAATATAGCTGGGTGACTGTCGTGCATTTTTTCTATAGTATCCAATTAAAAGAACGATTTTAGGCTGTATGGGTTAAGTTTCTTGCTCTGTAAGCATGATGACCTGAGTTCAATCCCTAGAATCCACTCGTGTAAAGGTGGGAGGAAAGAGCGACTCCACACAGTCACCTCTGTCTCCCATCCAGAAGAATAGAAAAAGATGGTAACAGCTAGTATTTTTTTCATATTTTATCTATTTCATTGTATACGGATGTGTGTCACAACACATACAACAAGAACAGGGGATAACCCCAAGCCGGTTCTCTCCCGCCACGCAGCATCATCTGCTGTTCCAGTATCACCTCCTCACGGTGTGAGTGGAGTGCAGCACACAAGTAAAAAGAGAATGCCACAATGCTGTTTACGCTACTCTAGTAATAAAAAGGACTGTATGTGTAAGAAACCTTACTTACAGTTAATCACGTTTGCCTTTCTCTTCAGTGTTGTTAGTCCTTTGGCCCTTCTGAAAATCCCACCATCAGGTCTGCCTGCCTGGGCATCTCTTCTCCTCCCGAGCATGTCCCAGGTAAGCTCTGGCTGTGCTGAGGCATCATTTTCCAGCCTAATCCACTAAGACAGGACCTGCTGAGGCCTCATGACTGCCTGTGACCCACATCTGTCTTTAGCTTTCACTCAGAACCACTGTTTAGGAAACTTAAATAATTTAAAAGCATGGGGCTAAAGATATAGCTCAGAAGTAGGGTGCTTGCCCACTACGGGACAAACAAGTTGCTGTGATCTTCTTTAAGTAATGTACAGTATCTTTACATAAAATGTCAGCACGATTAGAACACTTCACATGAGTGCTAGCTATGAGTTGTAAAACTCCACAACTTTGGGACAAAGGTGGTGGCGGCAGCAGAGCCCTGTGAAGGAAGTCATGACAGGGTACCTCAGAGTCCTACTATTAGACAGTCACTAACAATAATACTTGGGTGGAAGGGAGAATCAGCTCCTCCAAGTTGTCCTCTGACTTCTATATGTGGGTGTGCGCGCACACACACACACACTATAATTTAAATTTTTAAAAGGTGTGTATTTTGAAAAATAATTTCAGTTTCTCCAACATATAAATAGGACTTCACTATGGTCTGGGAATAGCATCATCTATAAAGCTCGGTGGTTGGTGATACACACCTTTAATCCTAGTATTTGGGAGACAAGGGCAAGCAAATATGAGGGCAGCCTGGTCTACAGAGTTCCAGGACATCTAAAGCTACACAGTGAAACCTTGCCTCGAAAAACAATCATCTATGTCACTGAGCTAAAACAAAAATTATATGAGCTAATCAGTCTTATACTGCCCCATACCATAAGCCTCTCAGTGATTATATTTCTGAAATGTCCCCTTCAACAGAACTCCAAGGTTAATGGCTGACATTTGAGTAGCAGTCACAATGGCAAAGTACTCTACTGTCCTTGTTTGAGATGCTGTTTTCTTTCCTTTCTTTAGTTTTTCAAGACAGTCTCACTGTATAGCCCGGATGTCCTGGAACTCTCTGTAGACCAGCCTAACCTTGAACTCAGAGATCTGCCTGTCCCTGCCTCCCAAGCACTGGGATTAAAGGCTTGTGCCACCACCCAACTTCCAGATGCTATTTTCAATGGCAAGAATTTCTACAAGATTTAAGGTTATGGTAGTGGCTGGAGAAGTGGGTCAATGCCTTTGATCCCAGCACTCGGGAGGCAAATTCAGGCAGATCTCTTTGAGAATCTGAGGGTAGCCTGGTCTACATAGTGAATTTCAGGCCAACCAGGGCTGCAAAGTAAGAACTGATCTCAATCAGAAAAAGAGGGAGTGTGGCAGAGATATGACCAACTGTGAAGCCAAACCCAAGCGAACAGCACAGCTGAGCAGCTGTAAAGGAAGCAAACTGCCAACACATTTTGTAAGCGTGATAACAGTACTGTTTATGACTTTATGTTTATAGGTACAAAGTATTTAAGAATAAAGTCTCCTCAAAACAAGCAGAAAACACATGAGTGAGGACATCTGTAAGACATAAGATCTGCTATGAGCTAGTGATGATTCTAGTTTGGTGACAGGAAGTCTCCAAGTGGTTTGAGTTTTTGCATGTAGTTCAGTTTTCTATTAATACTCACCTTTTAAATTCAGCGAGGCAGAACACACTTCTAATCTCAGCACTCAAACAGCTAAGGCAGGAGGACTCTGAGAACTGGGTCAGCCTGGGCTATGCACTAATATACTAACTCAAACCTCTTTTCTGACACCCCACCCCCAAATTATTTGTGGACTTTGAATCTTGATTCTTGACTGAAAATCCAAATGTAAGAAAAAAAGAAAAAAGAAAAAAATTCAGATGTACAGTGTTTTTTAAAAGGGAAACTCAGACAGAAGAAACTGTTGTTTTCCTTGTGAAATTTCCCATTTCTTTTACTAGCCCCTCACCCCCAATGAAGTTTGCCTAACATCTTGGCTTGCCTCACACTCCTTTTCTCCAATTTCTCATGCTACATGAAGATCATGGCCAGAGATCAGCATAACTTGAAAAGGTGGTGAGAGAAAATTGTAGCCATTTGCTCTGGCTCATGAACTCAGTGATAGTCACTGCTCTAACCAATCAGTGACGACTTACTCTCAAACACTCTGTCCGAGGTTTTGTCCTCTCAAAACTCACTTGGAGTCAAACAAGTGACAGCATGTCTTCCCCAAAGGGGAGGAATTAAAATGGGCAAGTACTTAGTAACAAAGATGCCTTCTCTGGACATGACTTGCTTTTCACCAAACAGCAAGGGAAGCCCTTAAGTTCCACCCCTTTGCAGTGGAAACAAGTATAGTTGGTTTCCTAATGGCGCTAACTGTCCTAATGGGCTGAGTCCTGAGAAAGGACTAAGCAATGGCTTTTTCCCTCTCTAAGGACAACTTACTTCATTCATCCACAGGGAAACAAGCTCCTGCCATTGGCAAAGTACACTACGGTGAAAGGACAAGTCTCCTGTTCACCAACCATAGAAAAATCAAGAGCTGAAAGCCACGTCATGTCCATCTGCGGAGCTGACTCTATGTGAACTCACACAGAATATGCGATTTCAACGCTCAGATTCCAAACATTTAGAAACGGAAGGTAGGTAGTTCAGTTCACCCCACTGAGGCCCCACGGCCTCAGGACACTCACTCTCAGGACTGTATGGGCTTCATCTCACTCCCCTAACACCAGGGTCAAGTCCTACCAGGCAGTGGCACAAGTAATACAAAACATCTCTCAAGCCTAAACTTATTGAGACCTGAAGCCTTGATAAACACCAAAGGCAAGGACTTTGATACAAAACCAAAAACAACTTTGGCTCTCTCAGCTAGCCTTATCTGCCAACCTCAAGCAATTCTGCCATAAGGTTTCTAAAGCAGATAAAACTGCAGCACCTGGAATGCGTTAAGAACATATCCTTTAGAGGATCAACTACCCTGAAATCAAACTTGGGGCTCCAGGGGGCTAGAGAGATGGCTTAGTAGTTAAGAGAGCTTTACTCCCAGGCGGTGGTAGCATGCACCTTTAATTCCAGCATTCAGGAGGCAGAAGCAGGCAGATTTCTGTCAGTTTAAGGCCAGCCTCTCTTTCTGAAGGGCAAGACACACTCTTTTGACAGACAGACAGATAGACACACACACACACACACACACACACACACACACACACACACACACGAGCACCTGCGTTCAGATCTGAAGCACTCAAGTAGAAAGCTGTTTGGCTACCTATAATTCCAGTGCTGGAGAACCACAGACAAATAAATTTGAAACTTATTTGCCAGCCAGCCAAGTGTAATTAGTGAGCCCCAGATTTAGTGAAAGACTCTGTTTCAAAGAACTAGAATGGAGAGTCTGGGAGATGCTTCGGACATTAAGAGCAGAAGACCAGACTTTAATTCAGCTTTGAGGCTATCTGAACTCTCTGGTCTCTGAGGGCACCTGTACTCACATACAAATACAAGGGACTAACAACTGTTTGTTAACTCCAGTTCCAGAGGATTTAATGTCATCTCTGGCCTCTAGAGACACTTCATCCATGTAGTAGTATCAGACACTCTTATGTAGGCGAAATAGCCATACACCTAAAATAAATAAATCTTTTTTATGGATAGAGAGATGACTGCTCTCCCAGAAGACACCGGCATGGAGTACACCTTCAATCCCAGCACTCAGGAAGGCAGAGGCAGGCAGATCTCTGTGAGTTCAAGTCCAGACTAGTCTACACAGTGAGTTCTGTCTAGGACAGCCAGAACTACATAGTGAAACCCTCTCAAAATGACCCCTCCCCAGGGTGGGGGACACAAAAACTGATGAGTATCAATTATACATGTGAAGTTACCTTAGTTCAGAAGTGTTTCTGGTCTGGTTTCCCACACATGTAAGTCTATCTGTAACAACAGAAAAGGTTGTTTCCATCAAATCAGGACTGTGCTAAACAGCTACATGAGCTGCATTTCAGGAAGAGCACATAAATCACCCTCTACTACTTTCTCCCCCCAAAACTACTTTCCTCATTACACCACTTAATATTTTTAGCATTAAAAAAATAAAGAAATGGCTGGGTAAGAGTGGTGCATGTTTTTAATCCCAGCACTTGGGAGGCAGAAGCAGGCAGATCTCTGTGAGATCCACAACAGCCAGGGCAACACAGAGAAACCCTGTCTCAAAAAAATCAGTAAGTGCTGAGACCATGGGCTGAGGCACTGCTGCCAGTCTATTACGTCTCTTAGTGACTAATTAGGAATTGTTAGGAAGCATATGGGCTTAAAACTTTCTCCAATCTCTTTAATACTCAAAATAAATTACTTTTTAAGAAAAAAAGTAATGAAGTAAATGAATGAATGAACAGAGACCAAGCATGATGGTGTATGCCTTTAATTAAAACAGCGTTCAGATTTGCGTTCAAGGTCAGCCTGGTCAACATAATGAGACCCTGTCTCTAAATAAAGTGGCAATCACAAAAACACTGAACAAAACAGAAAAACAGAGCTGGCAAGATGGCTCAGTGGGTAAAGAAACTTGCTACCAAGCCTAATGACCTTGAGTTCAATACCTAGAAGTCACATCAGGTAGGAGAGAACCAACTCCCAAAAGTTGTCGTGGCTGACCTACCTACCTACCTACACACACACACACACACACACACACAGAGAGAGAGAGAGAGAGAGAGAGAGAGAAAGAGAGAGAGAGCGCTATGTACATAGTAGATAATTCTATTTATGACACACCAAATTAGGCAAATTCATAGACACAGGAGTTGTCCAGGGCCATGTATGAAAAGTGAAATTTTACTGTGTGCAGGGCTTCCTTTTGGAGTGACAAAAATATAGAGTTAGGTAGGGAGGTAGTTGCACAATATTGTAGATATACTAAGTGCTACTGAATCATTCTCTTTAAAATGCCTTAATTTTCTATTATGTGAATTCCACCCCAAAAAAGAAAATGTAGGTGTTGAAAGGGAAGTGGGGGGAACACAAGTTAATCAGTAAAAGCAAGCTACATCCACCTCCACAAATCCTCTCTGAAAAGGTCCCATAGGTACATGCCTGAGGAACCATCAAATTCTCTTAGTCTGAAGAAGGGTCTCAACCTAGCACCCTGATGTTTATTTACTTTTTTAAAATTTTATTTATTTTTTCAAAGACAAGTTTTCTCTGTGTAGCAGCCCTGGCTGTCCTGGACTTCTGTAGGGCAGGCTGGCAGAACTCACATCTGCCTGCCTCTGCATGTTTCGGGTTTTTTGTTGTTGTTTAATTTTTGAGGGTTTGTTTTTGTTTTTGAGACAGGGTTTCACTGTGTAGCTGTCTGGCCTGGAATAGACTTTACATAGACCAGCCTGCCCCTGCCTCCTGAGTGCAGGGATTAAAGGTGTGGCCACCATATCCATCTTACCCTGGTTTAAGGTAAAGCTATTCTCTGGTGAGTTGTTCAGCAACTGGCAAGCGTAGAGCCCAGCTTCTAATGTCTGTTACAACAGCCCCACTAGCCCCACTGCAGCCCTCGGTAAGAATTCCTCTACAGCCAGGAGGTGGTGCATGTCTTTGATCCCAGCACTAAGAAGGCAGAGGCAGGCAGGTCTCTGTGAGTTTGAGGCCAGTCTGGTCTACAGAATGAGGACCAGGGACAGCCAGGGCTACACAGAGAAACCCTGTCTCAACCCCCCCCCCCATACAAAAAGTATTCCTTTCTAAAGTAAAAGCCATAATTATCCCAATCTCTATACAAAAATCTTCCTAGGCATTTTTTCATAGTAAGAGATAAAGGGATCAATCACAATGTGTTCTATCTGAAACACTCAGGAGTTCCTGGGGATTCAAGCTCTCTTTCTTTCAGAATACACCAGGTAACCATCATGACACAAGGTGGCTACTGTGTACAAACGCCAATCCTGTGGACATGCTACCCTACAGTGGAGAAAGATGCTGCTTAGCTGTCTCAGTTGCTCAGCCTGAGTTCATCAAAGTTGTTTGGACTTACTTGTGGTTAAAATCAGAACTCAGGGCAAGACTCCCAGTCCTACAGAAAGGTAAGGGCAAAGTGAAAATACCACCCTTAAAAACAAACAAACAAACAAACAACAAAAAAAGTGGAAAACCAGAATTTAATAAAATCAAAGCCAATACCCACATGCTTCCACACAGTTACACTATCTAGTCCAAGGTACAGTGGAAAAGTGGGGCACATAACAGATGTCTAGGTGCTGACAATATTGACAGTCTAATTATGCTGCCCCGTTCATAGGAACCTCCATAGAACCTAGGAGCCAAAGCGCCCGCCAGGCAGGAAGGCAGGAAAAAGTCCACTCTCAGCAAAGGGAGGGTGTATGGAGACTGATATAATGGCAGGACAATACTACTGACACATATGTGTCAAAGCCAGGTGGCATGAACACACAATGAGACACCTTTCTTTTTGAGAAAGTAGCCCACTATAGAAAATAGAAGTAAAAGGTATAAATTTCAAAGGTTAAAATGGTTGAAGTGTGGTTCAGGAGTACATGTTTTGCATACATAAAGCCCTGGGTTCCATCTTTAGCACAAAAAAAAAATTATAAAATCATTTTTAGTTAAAATTTAAATAGGCAACAGTCAAATTCAAAGATCAAACTAAGAGAAGACACTAGGTAACACCGACTACTCTTACAGATAAGAGTAAATACAAATTTGTCACCAACTGTACAAAGAAACTCAACAACAGAACTTTTAAAGTATTCTGATAATCATCTCCTGGACAAAACAGCTATTCAGACAAGCAGCACCCTGCTATGAATATACATCTGGCTTCTGTGGATGAAGCTGTCTAAGCATGCTGCACAGCGCAAACCTTCCAGACTACCCCTTCTCGTGAGTAGAAATGACCAGCATGTGTCCAACCCACAGCCCCTTCCTTTCTGACATGGTCTAGGGCTGTCTCTTAAATGCTGGTATTTGATATACAAATGACACTTCAACCTTTATTTTAAAAGAATTTATTATCCACCCCCTCCCCCAAACTTCCATTTATTCAAGAAATACTTTTGAGCAGAGCATGGTGGCATATGCCTTTAATCCCAGCAGAGGCAAGCTGATCCTAGTTGGAGGCCAGCCTGGTCTACTGAGCAAGTTTCAGGACAGCCAGGCCTACACAGAGAAACCTGCCTCAGAAACACTGATCTCCAAAAAGGGAAGAAATACTTTTCAACGCCTGTAATGTAAAAGGTAATAATGTAAATAATGTAATAGAAAAGTATAGTAGTTTTAAACAAGTAGAATATTCAACATCTTTTTGTTCTTCTTTTTTTAGTTTCACTGTATAGCCCCAGGACTCTGTAGACTAGGCTGACCTCAAACTCAGAGATCCACCTGCCTCTGCCTCCCAAATGGTGGGACTAAAGTCCTGTGCCAACCCCTTTCCCAAGCTAACATCATTAATTCCTGCATTTGGGAGACAGAGGAAGGTCTCTAAGCTTGATGCCAGCCTGGTCTACATATTAAGTTCCTGACCAGCCAGGGCTACACAAAGAAACCATGTCTCAAAACAAAACAAACAAACAAAAAGAATATTCAACAAATTTTCTACCAAAGAATCAGTCATAAGAATCTGTCAAGAAGCAGGCTGAATACAAGGAAATCAAGCTATAAAAACAGTCCAAGTTACTTGTCAATGAGGCATGAGGTAAAACACACAAACCCTATTAACAAGAATAAGAGCATGGCCAGGAGTGGTTGTGAATGCATGTAATCCCAACACTTGAGGAGGCAGAGGCAGCTGGATTGCTTTGACTTCGAGGTCAGCAGGGCCTACAAAGTCCAGGACAGCCAAGGCTGCACAGAAAAACTCTCGCAGTCTAGAACTCCTCCCACCCCATGTCAAATTCTCACTGCATGCTTGGCATATCGTGATAGCCCAGTAGTTGGCTAGCAGGGGGCTTTTTACTTTCATGAACTTTTTTGCTTTGTACCAATCCTATCTAATGCAGCATGGTGGCATATGGGGAGAAAAGATACTAAACAGGTGACAACAGTAGTTTTTCTTTTAAGAACTAAAGCAGCATACACTGGACCTCCCAAAGGTAGGATAGGTACATGGGCAGATGAGCTGACACGTTAAGTTCCTATGTCTTAACTAGATAAACATACTGTCCTATTTTTTTTCCCATCTCAAATTGTTTAAAAGAAAAATGCTGAATATTAATTACATTTTTTAAGGAAATGGTTAAATTTAGAAGCAAAAAAATTAAACAGCTCCTGATGCCTTCTCCAATTTCTCCCAACCCTCAGTATTTACCTGGTCTAACTAAGGCTCTTATAGGAAAAAGGGAGACAAGGATTCTGACAGGCCCCAGGATAGGAAGCACTCACAGGAAACAGAAATAAAAGCTAGGGGGATAGAAAGACAGCTCAGCAGTTAAGAGCACTTGATGCTCTTGCAAAGGCTCCAAGGATCTAAGTTCAGTTCTCAGCACCCACATCAAACGGCCTATAATCAACCTTCTGTAACTCTAGTTCCTAGGGGCTCCAACACCCTCTTTTGGTCTTAGTAGGCACTAGGAATGTGCATAGTGCACATATATAGGCACTCACACACACACAGTACACATAAAAATAAAATAAAATAAACCGAATGAAAGGAAACAAGGAAAAAGAAAGAGGAGACAGGCTGCACAGAGCTCTATCACTTCTGAAAACCGTATTTCAAGTCTTTCCATTGTCCTCTGTATTAACTGAACAATGGTATCTGGTCCACTGTCCAATAAGGCCTATCATTCTCCATACAACCACGGCCAACTAGCAGTCTGTCTCTAAGAGAGGTCTGTGCTAGCTCATTTCAGGGCAGGCACTGGAATGGAAAGGGTAACTAGGAAGGAGGCACAAGTAGGCCAAGCAACCGTGGGGTCCTGCAACATAGG